TAGTTTCGTACTTCATTGAATTGCAATAAACCGAAAAAACTTTGAAAATTATTTAGTGATAGCATTTTTTTAGTTAAATTTACCTGTGACTGAAATTTATATGTTGCATATTGAGTAATGTTAAAGTCACCAACAATCAATTATTTATTATCGTACAATTGACACCGCGATTCAATTCCATCCAGCAAATTTCAAATTCCTCATTTGATGTATTGGGTGGAATATACAAGTTTGGGGCGTACAAGTATACGTTTTTGTACCTAATACAGAAATTATATCAATGTCAAACAAATCTTTTAGATAATCATAACAAGTCTATTTTTATGTATGAGAAAATATTAAAATAATAAAACGTTCGTAATCCATAGGCGTATCACTTCTTTTAGTAGACAGTTAAAATATTTTTTGAAGTTGTTCCTCGAGTATACACTTATATTTTCACCTAATTAACCTGCTTATAACTTCTAAACAGCTGAAGGTAAAAAAGTGCAATTTTTTCTAAAATGTTTTATTTTTCCACGAGGTATGTTAAGAACATTCTGTCAAACGGGTTATAGGGTATAAGGGTTTAAACTTTGACTTTTAAACAACGTTACGTTCATAAATAATAATTTTAATATTAAAACTACTTCTTATCTACAAATCCAAATCAGAATCGAAATCAGAAGATGAACTGTCGCAACCAATATTTACAATGAGTGGCTCGATCATTTCATCAGTAATATTGTCCAACTTCCACATTTTCTCTTCTTATTTAATCGTATGATTTACTGCCTTTTCCCAGTTTTCAGGCTTCACATTATTTACAGCCTCCAAAAACAACTGTTTAACATCACTCATTTTAAAAGAATTAATTTTTCTTAAAACTTCTCCCTTTATCTGTGCCAATATCAGTTCAATCGGGTTTACTTCGCGATGATATGGTGGTGATCTAACCACCGTCATCCCACGATTTTTTGCAATTTCATCAATTTCATATTTTTTGAATTTCTCTTTATGAAGGGAACACAAATGATACAGTTCTTTTCTCACAGAACCGGGATGGAACTTAATATTCTTTGAATTTAGCCAATTCTGTAAATCTTTTTTTAACCACTTGGTTGTGGGCATTTTTTCTATAAGTCTCGAATGATAACTTGCATTATCCATTACTATTATACAGTTCTGAGGAAGAAGATCTATAATTTGTTCGAACCACTCTTTAAAGACATCAGCATTCATGTCCTCATGGTAGTCACCGGTACGAGTAGATTCAAAAGTCAATAAACCACCTTTAACAAAACCGTTTGAACTATCGATGTGTACTATTATTAGTCTGCGCCCCTTTCCTGATGGTGGATTTAAACCAGTAGATAAATTATTTAAAAAAAGCCTGTCTTCGACTTGTAACAGTTTCATCTTGCCAAAATTTATTTTTAAGGTGAAGGGGGAGAAAAAGTCCTTTATATCTCACAAGGAAAGTCAATGTTTAATTATTTAACAAAACATTGAGTGCGACCGGTTTCGAACTGTCATCACTTCATCTTCAGGCTCGCCTAGTGGAAAGGAGAATATGTGGTGTAAGGTGTGTTAACTTGAAGCAAACGATATATAAAATAGTAAAAAAGAGAAAACTCACCATACTCTCCATCCACTAGGGAATACTACAAAACAAGTTTCATCAAATGTGGGGTGAAATAAATTGTAAAATGAACAAAGTTTACAAGTAATAAAAAGTTAAAAATATTTGAAAAAACAAATATTAGTCAATTGAAATAGTAAAAATTTAAAATATTCAAGACCATACAAAACAAATCACATACATTAAACAGATTAAAAGATAAGGCTTATTTTAAACAACCTTGTTGTTTTTTCAAAAAACTAACATTTTTGAAAGAAAGAAAAAAGAAAAAATCCTTAAAAACAACCTTTTCCACTCAAATGTGAAATTCTATTATAGATATGTTGATGATATTTTGATTTTGTGGTCAGGTAACTTAGACTCATTAAATGACTTCTTGACTTATATTAATGACTTACATTCTAATATTAAATTCACATTAGAAATTGAAATAAACAAATCTATTAACTTCTTAGATCTTAAAATCTCACACAATAATAACAAGTTCAACTTTGACATCTATAGAAAGCCAACACATACAGGCACAGTTATAGACAATACCTCTAACCATCCAGCAACACATAAATTGGCTGCCTTTAATTGCTACTTAGAGAGGCTATTAAACGTTCCTCTGTCTACGGAAAACTTTAATAAGGAACTAAATATAATTAAAACTATTGCTATAGATCACAACTTTGAACTAGATATTATTGATAAAATTCTAACACATAAACAAAATAAAATTCAACAAAACTTAGTTTATATTAACAATCCTGATATGGTACATGAACTAACCACCAGTAAGAAATACATTTCTCTTACCTTTATTGGAAAAGCATCCTATAAAGTGGCAAGCTTACTTAAAGACCACTTTAAAGTATCTTTCAAAACCCCCTCCTCATTACATAAGTTATTTGTTCATAATAAAGATAAATTAGATCCCTTTGACTTATCTGGAATTTATAAATTAACTTGTAAATCTTGCCATTCTTTCTATGTGGGACGCACATTTCGAAATTTCAAGATCCCTTTAAAAGAAAATTTGCGTTGTCTTAACCAAAATACAACAGGTTTTTCACATTTTGCCAACCACCTACTGGACTCAAATCACGACTTCGATTCAACTGAAGGTTTCGAAATCCTACATAGTTCTTACCATAGATTTACTCTTAATAGCTTCGAAAGCCTCGAGATATTGAGAAATTTAAAATTAAATCCTGTTGGTTGCTTAAATGCCCAGATAATGTCAGAAACTCCTCCTGTTTTCTCAACACTAATCTAAATTTATCGTTCTAACTTCCTTTTTAACCTCCCCCTTTATTTCTATTCACATATTTTCTTGCAAGGGGTACATTTCAGTAAGTAATTTTTTTCCCACAAGAAACCAACGAGCATGTTTAAAGATTAGGTTAGATTGTGTGATATTCACATCCGTCATTTTCTTCTTTTCTTCTTTTATTCTTCAGTTGCTTCACAACAGTTAACCCAGTCATTTCTTCTTCTTTCTTCTTCCTACAACATCACATACACTTGGTGATTGGTTCATGGCCCAAATCTTATATAATAAATAATAAATATTTCTTCACTCATGGTTTACATCTTATTACCTATACCCTGTCATGGGTTTACCCAAGAATTTTTTTGTTAATACTTGCCACCACCTGTAGAGGCCTTAACTTGACAGGTCTCCTTTCAAAAATGTTAGTTTTTTGAAAAAACAACAAGGTTGTTTAAAATAAGCCTTATCTTTTAATCTGTTTAATGTATGTGATTTGTTTTGTATGGTCTTGAATATTTTAAATTTTTACTATTTCAATTGACTAATATTTGTTTTTTCAAATATTTTTAACTTTTTATTACTTGTAAACTTTGTTCATTTTACAATTTATTTTACCCCACATTTGATGAAACTTGTTTTGTAGTATTCCCTAGTGGATGGAGAGTATGGTGAGTTTTCTCTTTTTTACTATTTTATATATCGTTTGCTCCAAGTTAACACACCTTACACCACATATTCTCCTTTCCACTAGGCGAGCCTGAAGATGAAGTGATGACACTTCGAAACCGGTCGCACTCAATGTTTTGTTAAATAATTAAACATTGACTTTCCTTGTGAGATATAAAGGACTTTTTCTCCCCCTTCACCTTAAAATTACCTCAACTCACACATGGCTACCCCCCTTGTCAAAATTTATTTGGTTTATGTCCCTCGTTGATCCATGTTTCATCTAAATAAAATATATTTCTTCTTTGGTTTCTCATTTCTTTTATTTTCGTTAGGTAATTTCTTCTCCATACTACAATATCGCTTCTTTCTATTAAAATAGACTTTCTGGAATGCTTTTTCCATAGAAAACATATTTCTTTTAAAAGTTTCCATAGTGTGCTTCGACTCATTTCAGGGTAATCCTTATCATCTCGAACCGTGGCAAGAACTTTGTCTACTGTCGGAAATTCTTTTCTAAAGAAGAACGCATGCACTTTCCTTCGAAGTCTTTCTTTCAAAAGATTTTCTAATTAAAATTTTGGTTTTTCTGGAGCTTTACGTGCTGTTTGAAACTCGCCACATTTCTCTTCTTTAACAACTCTGTAAATCGTAGATTTCCCAACACCAAGCGTACTACTAACTAATTCCACTGTGTCATCAACACTTTTACATAAATGTTTGTCTGTAAATGATTTAAAACAATTAAATATTAATGTTTTATCATTAACTGTTAAAGGACCGATTTTTTGTCGTTTACGCGGCCCTTCCAAATTTTCCATGATCACACTAGAATTCACACTGCACCTTACAAGTTGCAACTAAACGACATTTAGCAAACTGTCAAGAATACACAACTTGGACCTCCTTACTAAATGGAAAACCTATAATCGCATTTTCGGTGAAATTTGTTGGGAAAGTATTTATCTACTTATAATTCGATTACTGTAAGAAATTCTTGGAATTAAAATAAAACAAAATTGGCAAATAGGTACTTATTGAAAATAATCTTAATACACAGGGCTTTTGGCCTGTCCAAACCTTTTTCTATTGTTCTGTACAGCTTATGTTTATAAAGGACCAATAAAAGACCCAAAACTTGTAATAGCTCAGGTACATTTATTACAATTTTAGGAAATATTTAGATTATTCTGTAAAAATATTTAAAATGACCGTACTAAGTTTTGCATTAGAAATGCTGTTTTATTACTCTCTCATACATGAAAATAGACTATAATAGAGAACCTCCTCCCCTGGTATTATTCGTCAAAGCATATCGTCTATCCGATCTAAAGACATCGTATTTTGTCGAATGAAATAAGTCACTAATTGAATTATTCAGCCAAATTTCGGTTAGAGTCACTATATCGTATTTACCGGAAATAGTAGAATTAATATAAATATCTTTTGTTTTAGTTCTCAAGCCTCTGATATTTTGGTAGTAGCAAAGAATTACGGGTATATGGGAAGATTTAGAAACAACTTTGGGCGCTGATTGCTATATTGGAGACAATTATATTAGTTTTAAATTTATCTAATGTCCGCTTATAAACAATGCATTCCTTTCTATAAGTAAATCTAAATTTGCAACACTGCAAATGATTGTGATCAATTTTGTATTGCGAAATAAATAGCAAAGTATCTAGAAGAGAAAACAATCCATATATATCGAGCCGGAAACAAGAAATTAACCCAAATAATCTTCTTCAGTATCTTTGCGGTATTATTGCTAATTTTTTTGCGTTTCTTAACGCCTTTATCTTCTGTTACAATCTTGTCTATTAGCAGAGATTCAAAAGAGGTAATTGGGCTTTCACTAGTAGAAGGAACCAGTTCCATATCATCCTCAGAGTCCATTCCCAAGTTTCCTTCCCCTTCAATTTCAATGTCACAAAATGGTAAAACTTCCTCTGAGCAATGTTTTTTGAAATATCCTTTGAAAGATCATTTGGTCTGAAAATTGATTATTTAACAACAGTTCTATCTACAGGGTTATCTGGATTGTTATGATTAAATAAGCTGTGGAAATTCTTTCTAAATTTTTCCTACTAAAATAAATTAAACATTCTCTGTAAATTCGATAAAAAAAAACGAAAACAAGAAATTATTTAAACATTGGCTGCATATTTTTTGATAATTTTATACAAAAACAGAACCTGGTTGAATATTAAATCATTCTATAAACAAATAGTGATTTGTAATATAATTTGTACATAAGTATTGTGATTTTGCCTGTCAGATGCCAAATATAAATGTAAATATATGTATATTTCTTTTTTTGTAAATGATGTAAATATTTAGCAGAAATAAAAAATTTAATAAAATTTGAAGATTTCATTTGGTTTTTATTTCTTCTCGAAACCTGTTTGTTGAATGTATAATGTATTTAAATGTGACCAGTCAAAGGATGGCAAAAACTATTTTGGAAGTCATATTTTTAATCGAAGCAGGCCAGGTTTGAATATTATTTGAAGAGGTAAGTGGAGGAAGGAAATTATTCATCTCTTAACTACTGTTTCATTGCGAGTTTTCTTCTAGGAAATCCATTGAGTAATAGTTATGCACACAATGAAGTATAAATGTCATATCTACTTAAGTTTTTTAATTTGTATTTTATAGTTTTTTACAATTTGTCACTAATTTTATTTCAATACCGGATTGTCTTCATGGGAAAATTAATTTTTAAACAGATTTTTAACAGAATTTTATTTAATTTGACCCACTCATCCCTTTCTCAATTGATTTTGTTAATTTTTTTAGGTTGTATTTTATAGTTTTTAACAATTTGACACTAATTTTATTTCAATATCAGATTGTCTTTTTAGAAAAATTAATTTTTAAATAGATTTTTAATGAAATTTTATTTAATTTGTACCCCTAATTCCCATCCTAAGTGATTTTGTTATATTTTTAGGTTGTATTTTATAGTTTTTTACAATTTGTATTAATTTTATTTCAATATCGGATTGTCTTCTTAGGCAAATTAATTTCTAAATAGATTTTTAACTGAATTTTATTTAATATAACCCCCTCATCCCATTCCTAAGTGATTTTGTTAACTTTTTTAGGTTGTATTTTATAGTTTTTAAAAATTTAACACTATTTTTATTTTAATATTCTGTTATCTTTACAGAAAAATTGATTTCTTAATGAATTAAAACACTGTTTTCTTCACAGCAAAATACATTTCGACGCCACTGATAATTCGGGCGTTTCCGGTAAACGAGCTGCTGGAAAGTGGCTGCTAACTTCACACCGATAAATAATTGTTGAAGTTTCCGTTAAATCCGTTCTATCTGCAGTGTAGCTGCAGCATTTTTCTGGTTCTTTGCGCTTTGGCATACATATTTTCTATTTTTGGATTATTCAGGCATTTTTACTAGTAAAAAAAGTAAATTAAAATAACGTGACCTTAATATGACATCTGGCCCATAAAATAGCAATAACAATTATAACATATATGAACGGGTGTAAAGTTATCCAACAGTCACAAATGTACACTGAGAAAAATAAAGATCTATCGTAATAGTCATATAACTTGGTTCAAATGACAACATGTAGAGGCTTTTAATTTTCAGATTTTAATTGGGCAGGTTTCAATACATAACAACCACACCCGCAATTAACTTTTGCTCCGTGTGAGGGGGTGCAATTGGGGTGAAATTTTAAAAAAATCATAGAAGCCACAAATGGCGTTGTACACCTTTCAGCTTGGGATATGTTTGCTAACAGTGTTTCCAACCGCAAATAACGGAATTACCCTCAATATTTGATATCATATATAGTACTCGATGTACTCGTTCAAAATTATTATTGGTAAAATTAGATCCTATGACTAGTTTTCCAAATATAACTTAATATGTACCAAATATATGAATTTTAAACAATAAATATATACTGACATAAGTAGATATTTTCAAGAGAAATATCTTATATTAAATATTTTGACATACTGTTTTAGATTAAGAATATACCCCTTGTACTATTTTCAAAGAGACAAAAAAATCGTACTTACAGGGTGATTGCGGTTGAATATGTAAAAGGAAATAATCAACAAAATGCTGAAATTGTTAGCAAAAAATAGAAAATAATTGCCTTTTAACTTCCGAGTTCTTTATTAAAAAAATCTTATTAGTTTATATACAGGGTCATACATTATATCATTAAAAAAAAAGTTCATTATACGCTAGGTATAAGTAGGATCTAGGGAAACGAATAATGATCGGATTGAATGTTTATTTTGACTGGAGCATTGCCTCTTTATATTATATATTTATATCAGATTGGGATCTCCTTTCCGCGTAAAGTGTTAGCCCCTGTAGGAATAGTGCACTGCTTGTATAATAGGGCAGGTCAAAAATTACCAAAAAAACATTAATTTAGGCTAGTGTGAAAAAATTGTATTTTATGTGGTTTACACTCTTTATAAAAATTAGTGAAAAAATAAAATATTTAGCTGGGACCTTAGGGGTGAGAAATTAAAAATCTAAAAAAATTCAGCTTTGTGCAGCTCTTCGCTTGATTTAAAACTCAAGGGGTTTAGGGCAGCTACAAGATAATAAAACCGGTTTTGAATGTTAAATCAACCCAGAACTCACCACGAGGAGGTGGCCGCACTTCGAGTTCCACCCACCCACCCATTTCTCCATTTATCTCAATATATCTTACTTATTTATATAAAGAGATCATTACATTTTTGACAAGTCCTTTTTGGCATCAAGTTTAGCACGTATGTACGTAGAATTTTCATAACACCCAAGTTTTTTTTTTGGCATTGTTATTAATGTTCTCATACCTTAGAAAAATATAACAATAATAGCAATTACAAAGGACAACTGAATTTATTACAAACACTAAAGATATAAATTCAGATACTTTGTAAGGTATATAAGAAAACAAAAGTCAAATATTAAATTAAAAGAACAGCCTGAACTAAAGATAAACGACCAAATGACTGACGTAACTGAACCAAGACGTTAACGTTAAGTATTAGGTGCAAATACGAGATGGTAATACCAATTAATTTTCTTCTACTATGGGACCGAGATCGATATTTTCTGGAAATAATCGGTCTGCTGCATCATCGATGCTATTTAGTAAACGTGTTGTTGGATATCTTATATTATTCTGGTGCCTTGCATAACCAAGAAACCAAGATGCAACATGTGCGCAAGTACTTAAAGTTCTCGAACCGCATGGACATGTACAATAATAGCAGAAAATTGGATCAATATTTTCATTAAGTTCCTCTTCGTATGCCAACAACAGCATATATTTAGTTGCGTTTCTTAACCTAGAATAAATTCTAAAACGTAAAAAATTATTCTCTTCTCTAAACTCGTCTATTTCTAAAACATTATTTTCCTCTCTTTGCAGTTTATCTTGAATATATGATGGACTTGAATAAATATGGTAAGAACCTACCAAATCTTTTAGGAAATTGATCTCTACGCGAGGAAATTCAGAAATATGCATGTGGTTCAATCTTCGCCACCGACCATTTCTGGTAGTCAGAATTTGGGCTTCGGCGCATGCTTGTAAAATATTAACGTCATCTAGTTTGTTTAAAATTTCAACTGCTATGTCCATTGTACCTGGCAGGTTTATAAGAGGATGAAACTTATTTAACAACGCACCTGCAATCTGATAAAAACCACTCAAATTAACTGTATGATGTGTGGATATGCGGCCTTTAAAAAATTTAAAAATGGATTTAAAATGTCCATTTCTGGCTTCTACAACCCAACGAGTTTTAGTTATTAGTCTCGCTCTATTAGCTTCACTTGTTGATAATTGCCGTTGGTTTTGATAAAGCAAAGGTGGCATATAAGTAATTAATAATAATAATAATAATAATAATAGTTCTTTATTTCAGGAGTATGTTACAGATACATAAAACGAAATAGAGTCAAACAAAATACATGAACAATATTGTCTTAGGTCATCAAAAACTCATTTAGATTATATGGTTCTCTGTTAACTAAATATATAAATAACATTTTCTTGACTTCTGTCAATTCATTAATTGTTTTAATATATCTGGGGAGACTGTTAAATATTTTGATACAATTATAGTAGGCTCCACGTTTTGTCATTGTAAATGTGTGGTGTGGATAGACATAGTCTTGGTTTCTAGTGAGATATACCGACTGCGATTTACTAGTGTCGAAAAGATGTTTGTTTTTAATAAAAAACAAAACACATTCCTGTACATAGATTGCTGTCAATGTTAAAAATTTATTTTGTTTAAACTTTCCTCTACATGAGTCTCCTACTTTCATTCCTAAAATATTTCGCAGAGCTCGTTTTTGGCAGATAAATAATCTTTCAATTTCAATACAACTTCTTCTAATCTACAAGTTCTTTTAATCTAGGAATAACGTCTCTGTAGCCTCTATCTACTATTACTATATATCTTTCTGTGATCCAGTTTCTAAATTCAATATTATCATTAACCAATTATTGCTGAATCATTATTAGATGCATCAGAAAAATAGGGACCATTGATTGATAAAATATATCCGTCAGGAGCTACTGTAATTTCTGGCTTAACTAAATGTTCCTTCTTAAAATAGCAATAGGACTGACGTAATATTCTAAAATTACTACTTTTTTGAATTGAGTTATATGCAAAATTGACATAAAATATGGCCTTTGGAATATTTGCTATAGGGTTGTAAAGCGCGTTTACGAATTCAGGGACATGATTTATGATATAGTTTTCTCTGGTTATTGATCTAAATCTAATATTACTAGGTACAAATCTTTAAAGCAGGGACATATGGACATTAGATATGACTATACTAGTGACTTGTCGGGATGAATAATTAAAAAGTAATTTTATGAACTCATCTGACAATCCATGTCTTAGTTTAACAAGGAAAGCAAGTAAATCTTTTTGATCAATGCTTCTTAAGTTACCATATTGTTCTATTAGTTCACAAAATTCATATAATTCATGAAAATTCTCTTTAGAAATTGAAGTTAAATATTTAAATTCTTCTAAAGTAAAAGTATTTATGTCTTCCCAATTTTTTAAATTATTATTATCATTAGCAGCCGCTCTTAAACTAGACAATAATTGCTGAATATTAACGGGGAGGAATGGTCTATAAACAAAACGCAAACCAGCATGTAAATTAATCGTTAGTAAACCCGAATGATTTAGATGAATGTCACAAATCTTCAGATATTCGGGTACATAAATATTTGCTCTGCATACTGCAGATAGTTTTCTTACA